ACAGAGGCCACACACACACACACACACACACACACACGCACACGCACACACACACATGCACACACACACATGCGTGCGCGGGGCCCTGTCCCTCCTGCTCCCCCTCCTCTGCCCCAGAGGGGCTAAGCTTCATTTCACTAATATGTTAATCATTGAAACCGTCTCATACTGCAAGGCACAGGCATGGTGAATTAAGAGCTGGATGGTTTGCAGAAAGAAAAGCAAGCTGTCCCCTGAACGCCAGAGGGCTAGTAGGAATTTGTAATGATGAGAGGCAGGGCAGAGAGAAGAGGCAGGGGAAGGGGTCAGGGCAGTGTCCTGGGGCAGGGGAAGGGGGTCAGAGCAGTGCCCTTGGGCAGAGGAGGGGTCAGGGCAGTGTCCTGGGGCTAGGGGGAGGGGTCAGGGCAGTGTCCTGGGGCAGGGGAAGGGGTCAGAGCAGTGTCCTGGGCTAGGGGAAGGGGTCAGGGCAGTGTCCTGGGCTAGGGGAGGATGTGGGCCCGTGACCCTGCTGTGACCCAGTCACCACATGTGGCAAGGTTCTCCTCCTGCCCCAACGACTACTGGGAGGACAAGCTTGGCCTCTTCCCAGGGTCTCGGGTCTTACAGAGGCCTGGTGCTTGTGGCTCGTCTCATCTATGGCTTTTGGGTGTGTGGCCAGGCCTGAGTGGCAGAGCTGCCCCCACGGTTCCTCAGGACTTCCTATAAGAGGCGGCCCAGGTCGGTGACAAAGGGAAGAGGTTACCTGGGCCCCAGGGGACCCTGTCTGTCCCCAGCAGCTCGTCGCTTTACCTGGGGCACTTAGTCTCACCCACAGGCTGTACCCCTCGAGGCCTCAGTCCTCATGTGCTTCCCCAGAGATGTCCCGTCAGGGGGCAGTGGCAGACGCGCTCTTGCCGGCCCCGGCTGATGGGATTCCTCCGTTTGCTTCTGGGAGACTCTAAGTCCCTGTTTAAAACCTGTGTCTGCAGGGACGCAGCGGCGGGTCTGGGAATATTCAACACGCTGACTGACATCCTGGGCCAGGCTTGTCCCAGCACGCGGTGCCCCGTCTGTCGCGGTCCCGCCGCCCTGGGCTCATCCTGGGTCTCTGCCTGCAGCCCGCGCGACGCAGTGTATGGTCTGCAGCTTCTTCAAGGGAGGCCGCTGCTTGCTCGGCGGGGGCAACTGCACGGTGGACCAGGGCCCCGGGTGCAGGACCAGGGCGGTCTTCGTCTTCACACACCTCCGTGAGTGGCAGGCCCCCGGGGCAGGCGTCCCGCTCGGAGGCCGGGCTGCTGTGGGCGGGCTGGACGTGGCAAACGGGGGTGGCTGCAAGCTCGGCACGGACGCCCTGTTCTTCCAGACGGGTGGGCCCACAATCACACCGTGCTGGACTGCTCGGACGCGTGTCTGCAGGACAACATGTATTTGGGGGTCCTGAAGGTCTCCACCTACTGCTGCAGGGGGCGGGACTTCTGCAACAGACGTCGCGGGAGAACGGTGAAGAAGGGTGCCCACTGAGGCGCCTCCTGCCTCGGTCCCGCATCCGGTCCAGCCTGCTGTGCCCTGCTCAGTGCGGGGCCCCCGTGTCCTCCCCATGCCAAGCTCTCACAGCCCCCATCTCTCCATTCTCACCCGAGGGCGCCGTCCGCTCTGCCCACGGCTCTGGTCGGCCCCGCCTGCTCATGGTCCCACCCTCCACAGAGTGCCCAGAGGCGACAGGCTTCAC